GGGGGCAAATAACTAACAAAAATCAAATAACTACATTTGTGTAGTATGAACAACATGACAATAACAAATATGTTATAAGCATATAAGAAAGAGTAAAGCGCTAATCAACGTATACGTTCTTCTCCACCCCTCTCATTATCATTGAAGAACAACTTCTTCAATTCACTTTCAATATCATCATCATCAGAATCTAAGGAAGGATCCTTTAAAACTTGGCTGAGAGTGAGCCTTTTCATGACAATCTCGATTCAGCGTTGCACCGCTCGACTCCTCTTCAAAAAACCTCAGATGAGTCCTTCCTGGGTGAGCCATTTTTGTCCCTCCATCAAGTACCCAATTACGAGCCTTTTGAACATGGTTTCGAATGATAGTCTTTAACTGAAGAGAATTTTTTAAGTCCTCAATTACTTTACGCTTAACTTCTGCAACATCAACTTTCTTCACAAACCTTAAAAGACAGATCTCTTCTTCTTGGTCTGACACCGTCGACTTAAGGGCTTTCACGCTTTTATTAATTTCACTAAGGTCAGGTTGGGCTCTCTCCAGATCTTGAAGTTACAACAAGAGGGGAGTTGTCATTGTTGAGAGTTCTGTCTTGCACTCTGTCAACTATGATGCAAGAGTTGTGACTCTTTCAACCCTAGATTCATATCAAGACAAGCTCAACGGGCAAGCCTTGATGGAAGCTAGTGATGGACAGAGTCCTCGCTAGAAGAACTCCACAAGAGCAAGTGGTTGACACAACCTCCACTCAAAGACATCAGAAAGCTACAAGCCTCAGAAGACAAAGATACATCAAAAACTTCAGAGGGATACAAGCCTTAGAAGGCACAAATACATTAAAGACCTCAAAAGGCCACAAACCTTAGAAGGAACAGATTCAAGTTTCTATAAGGCATATGTCGTAGAAGGCACAACCTCCGAAGACATGAACCATAAAAGGTACACGATTTTTATTTTATAAAATTTGTGTGCTAAATTTAATTGCAGAATATTGTACGATTAAGAAGTCACAACAACCTCAGAAACAAACAACAAAAAATGCTTCACCATTATCACAAAAAAGACACTCGGGGGGGGCATGAGACTACAATGGC